GGTTTGGAAGGTTCATACTAGTAACGCCACCCGTTTATTGAAAATAAATTCTTACGTTCGAGCGGCATCAGTCATCTGTGCTAATGTTTACAAGATTTGTCTAACTTCATTCGCTCGAGTTCTTAACCGAAGATGGACATGAAGCCCTTTCCAACAGTTTATAAAACTTGCACAATTTGGCTGTTTTGCGAATTAACATCCAAGATCTCGAAGGCGGTCCGCGATGGAATTCTTCTCTCTGACTTGCTTTAAAGATTTTAATAAAGCTTTTGAACCCAGTTCCTAACTTGATTCTTAAGTTATCTCCACAAAAGCGGCAAATTGACGGAATATCTATATTATGCTTTCTACCCCTCTTGGGTTTTTCTTTAAAATTTTCCTTGTCGTTCGACATTTTCATCCACGTGCAGCAGCGTTTTGACAGTTTACATGGGTCAGTGCTCTGCTATTTTTAGTATTTTCCCTGCTTCACTGGCGTACGTCTTAAAATGGCGCGTCGAGATTGGATAGTTTTGACAGTTGTTGATTGACATTCGAAACACGATATGCATAAGTAATCAGGGGGAATTATGCGGAATACGGGCCTCTCATAGCAGGCCCTTCCTTTCGTTTCTTTCCTCTCCCCAAGCCTCTCTCCGCTCGGCTCCTCAATCCCTTCCCCCCTCCCTCTAGGGCCGCTACGCAGGCTACTTCTTCACACACCGGATAAACTTCAAACACTCGCTACAGACTCGTAACGAGGATCTTAGGAGTTAGATCCGGAGAAGATGTTTTGGCGGGACGAGGCCATACGCCAAATCATACAAGACTTTGCGTGTGCGGTTGTTATCACTCCATCCATGACTCTTAGACCCTCAGGAACGTATCCAAAGTCCAAGAAATCTTCTATTATCCCTGGGCATAAAGCCTTGTCTTCAGAAAGCAGGTCTCTGGTCAATTCTACAAGGTTTCCACTTTCCTCCACTCTTCCAGACTTTATGGTAAAATATCCATAGATCGGACATTGGAGAATGCACTTTCCGTCTCCATACACGATGAGACGAACAGGCTGGAATGGTCCTGTCTGATGGGTAAACATATGGAGTTGTGAAGGGTGCACAACAAGGACACGTTCCGGAAAAACAGCGAGAGGATCCTCCGCATCCTCAACAGTTGAGTGTTTCTTCGTGAGATTCAGCATCCCACAATCGAATCCGGCCGCTGAAAGGTCACTTTACCATTTTTCCAGTAAGAAAGCAACACTATATTTTGTTTTTTCCTGTGATTTCTTTCACAGTATACTCTTTATTTCGACCCACACCTTGATATTCGGAACAATCTAAAGAGTCCCCCATTTCTCTAAACCGTAGGCTCTTGTGAAAACCTTTTGTAAAAGCCTACATGTCTTATGGCTGTGCTTCTAACAGTGCCTCATCAAAACACAGGTGGCCCAAGCTCTATCACAGGCTCTTTCACAATGTTTGTATAGTGGTCTAGTTGGACTTGCTTTTGAGCTCCGTAAATGTAAAGTTGTGTGAAATAATCAAAGAAATAAAGTCTTACCTTTATAGAGACTAGTCTATGTTGTTCTCCTCGCGATTTGAGGCCATTTTGATATGTTTAGCGTGACGCCCTAAATCACCGTGCACAAAATACGGTAAGGTCGGAAACTTATTTTGACATATGCTCGCCAAAATCGATCGAAAACAACACTTAAATACTTTCCCTCGAATCAAAACTTGGCAGCACGAAAGCCAAATAGTTGCCCTTT